GGAACACATATTCCCTGATGTTGATCAGCATGATGCTAAATTGAATGAACCTTGTCCTGCAGCTCCTTTACCTACTGTACCAGTTGCTCATGAAAGGTCAAAACACTCTCTTAGAACTTCAAATCCACCCATCTAGATGAAGGATTATGTGACTCAAGTCTCTAATACAGATCAGCCTTATTCTATGGGAAAATATGTTTCATACAAGCATGTAAAAAAAAAAAGGGAAAAATATAGCCAAAAACCCAAGACAAACATGATAGGACACAACGAGAGAGGGAGTATTGAGTAGGATTTAAATCAATCTGCATATTTATTATCAATCATTCTGCATATTTATTATCATTCCAAAACTCGTTATTTTTAGTTATTTTCAAATTTTTAGTTATTTTTAGTCATTCTACATATTTATTAGCATATTATCATTCTGCATATTTATTATCATTCCAAAACTCGTTATTTTTAGTTATTTTCAAATTTTTAGTTATTTTTAGTCATTCTACATATTTATTAGCATATTATCATTCTGCATATTTATTATCATTCCAAAACTCGTTATTTTTAGTTATTTTCAAATTTTTAGTTATTTTTAGTCATTCTACATATTTATTAGCATATTATCATTCTGCATATTTATTATCATTCCAAAACTCGTTATTTTTAGTTATTTTCAAATTTTTAGTTATTTTTAGTCATTCTACATATTTATTAGCATATTATCATTCTGCATATTTATTATCATTCCAAAACTCGTTATTTTTAGTTATTTTCAAATTTTTAGTTATTTTTAGTCATTCTACATATTTATTAGCATATTATCATTCTGCATATTTATTATCATTCCAAAACTTGTTATTTTTAGTAAATAGGGAATAACAATAAAAGAAAAATGAAAAATAAAAATAAAATAAAATAAGTATAAAAAAAAGAGAATTATAATTTTTTCTTGGAGCAATAGAAAGACATATTTTTATGTGCCAATTTTATATACATTGCTATCTCATTCTTGAGTGTTTTAAATTATTTATGCTATTTCACTAATTACTTTCTTTATATAATACTATTTATGTTTATAAATTTATTTAACTATTTAAATTTAGAGTTCATGTAATTTCTCTTACTTATAATTAAATTTTTCATAATTATTACTTCAAAATATGTGCATATCAATTTGTGCAATTAATAAAAATAACAGCCTAAACTTTTTATATATCCATACAAAATTTTCATATGAGAAACTTAGAAAGTCTAATTCTAAATTCAAGAAACAAAGTAGAAGTTATATTCAATTCACACATCTACTAACTAATTAATATTTTGTAAAAAAAAATACGTTAAAACAATAAATACACAAGAGAACTCAAATATCAATTTTATATAGATACTAAATATAAATTTTGTAATCCAGATCTGTAGAAATATGAAGAAGTTAAAAGTCGATACCAATGATCTCATAAATCAATATGTGGTTTTGATTTTCAATAAAGAATATGAAAAGTTAGGACAATAAATGATATAATTGTGACTTTTATTCTTATAAACCAATAAATAAATGGAAAAATAGGGAAACAATATTTTTTTTAAAATTATATTTTTTGGCTAGTGCAATATTTGTTTATTTCTAATTTTAATCGTGGGTTCATCATGAAATGTAATAAATATAAATGAATGTTGGGAATTTTTTGGAGAGTTACAACTTCTTATTTTTAAATTTATTTAGTGAGTAATTATCTTATTCTTTAATGGACTAATCATGTAAATATTTTTTTTAAAAAAAAATTTGAAAATTAAGATAAAAAGAGAAATCTCATAATTAAGAAAGTTAAAATGGATGATTTTTTTTGTCATTTCATTAGACTACCCTATTTTAATAATTTTTATTCTTTTGGGAGAAAATGAAATATTTGAGTGATAAATATTTGTGCCTTTAAATTTACAATAAAGAATAAGAATAAGTGGAGTAATAAAGTTTGAGATATTTAAATTTTAACAATAAATAATATAAATTAATGAAGGGAGTAGTAATTGACACATTGTTTTTAATAGTAAATAGAAATATAGTGAAAATTACAACAACAAAAAAAAGAGAAAAAAGATAAATAGGATCTTTGGCCAAAGAGAGGTGTCAAATCACTTTTTTAATATCTAATTTTATATATATATAAAATTCATACTTTATGGAGAAATGAAAGGTTGGAGTGATAAATATTTAGACCTTTAAATTTAAATAAAGAATAGGAGTAAGTGGAATAATAAATTTTGAGACAACTATTCCTATTATGTCAATGCCAATTGAATTAATGCTATTAGCTTTTATAATAAATAATATAAATGGAGAGAGTAGTAATTGACAACTTTTCTTTACTAATAATAACAAATTAAAATATAGTGAAATTTATCAAAAAATGAGAAAATAAATAAATAAGATCTTTGATAAAGAGAAGTGTCACATCACCTTTTATATATATATATATGGAGAGAGAGAATGTGTTTGTGTGTGTGAGTGAAATAGGGATTGTTATGGTGAGGAAATAGGAAAAATGATACTTGTAACTTGTAAGTTATTAATAAGGATAATTGAGGAATTAATTCTTTATATTTTATTATTTTTTCTTAATTAATTCCTACATTAGTTACATAAAAATGGGGAGAAGCCTAAAAAGGAGGAAACAAAAAAGATAAGTTAACTTCTTCTTTTTTAAAGAAAGTACTGCATATAATATTTTTAATTTCTCTTAGAATCATAATATGTCTCAATCCCAACTAAGTTGTATTGGAATTGGTTAATAACTAACCTAATTAGATTGTAATAGCTGATTAGTTATTAACTAATTATTCTGTTAGAATGCGTCAGAGTTAGTTATGCAGTCACATCATAGAGGTTAGTTAGTTAGCTCATAGAAATGTGTATATAAATACATCATTGTAATAGCAGTAGCTTAGTTTTTCTAGTTCGATAATGAAGCTTCAATTCTTCTTCTCTCTAAAGTTGAACTTCTAAATTGAGTTTTCCAATAAGTTGAAATCGGCTATAGGGCCAAAACTTCTTCGAACATCAAAAATAAAGAAATAATCAATTGTGGGATATTTCATATTAGCTATGAATTAATACACAAATATTGAATCCCACTCCAAAACCTGAAGAAGATCTACTCTCAAAGATTACAATTAAAGCTACTAACCATATGATAGATTATTTCTATGTAAAAAAAAATGGCAAACACAATCAATAAGCTCAATTCTACCGAAGAACTTCTAATTTACAACAAACAAAATTCAATTCACCTAAAAAAGAGCTGAAAGTGTCCGTTTGCAATCCGATTGTTTGCCCTTTCTCAACTGAAGCAAATTTCTTCCCCTGAGGATTATGATTTTCACCATCTAACTTCGCGTTTACCTCATCAATACTATGTTCTTGTTTCAACTGTTCTGTGAAATTGTGAGGGTTGATGATATTCTTTTGAAACTTCTTATCGTTCTTTTTCTCCTTTCCTGTTGCATTGCGATACTATTGTTGATATTTTACCTCTTCCAGCAACATCCTTATTTCATCCTTCGACAGCTGAGCATGCTCACCCTCGTGATTTAACTTTTTCTTCTCAAAAATATCGTGCCGGACTTGATAATTTTCATCAAGCAAGTTATCATCAGACACAAACTTTGGCTTCATTAGCTCCAAATTTGACATTACAATATTAATTTAGTAATTAACTACAATTCCTATACTAAAATATTCCTATGTATTTTGTAAAAGGAAAAAGGACTATACGCCTGATTTAACATATACTTACCTATTTTTTTTACATGTACTCACTGGCAAAAACTTATTAGCAATTAGGAAAAGATGTGATGTGGTGTGGTGGACGGGGTTGCTATTCTTGTAATCAGAGATCTTGGTTCGAATTTTGGATATGAAAAAATCGTACTTTCGTCCCAATGGAGCCTTACGATGTATGAGTCCATATATAACCGAGCTCCAATGCAGATACCAATCACCAGTCTGAAATATTCCATAAAAACTGACAACTTCCGATAGAAAGATCTTGCCAAAACATTGTAAACTTCCTTCCATATTTCTAGGAAAGAGAATATAAATGTAAGACGTCTTTTCTAGTCACAATTAGAATTAGAATAATATTATCGAATCATTTTTGTTCCAATGCTAAATAATTCACGTTCAAATAAAGAAGGAAAACAAAAATAGGATAAATTTTGAGGTATACCTGGAGACGGATATCCCCGTTTTTGCTCGGAAAGAGGATGAGGCGATGGAGGCATCTGGTAACTCGAATATAAGCTTCCAAAGGCGATTGAAAGACATTAATTTTGGATTTAGAATTCTAAACGATGTCTATAATTATTATAGGCTTAATTTGAGGAAACGGTTAAGGGCTGCAATTATAATTGTAAATGGTGTCTTTCTGTTTTTAAACTTTAATTAGTTAAAGCCATTAATGTGGAAAATAGAAAAAAATCTCCAAAAACTTGAGAAAATAGATAAATAGGTTTTCTGATCATTGAGGCATGCTACATCAGCTAACTAAAGATCCTCCTTTATATATATATATAGAGAGAGAGAGATAGATAGATGGGTTTGGGTGTTGGGATGGGTGGGTTTTTTAATTTGATAAAAAAAATAGGTGGACCAATGAAAATTGGCCATTTGTTTAGTTAAATTCAATGTCATATTTCTGTTAACTAAATGACATCTTTGAACCTAAAAAATGTATTAAGGATATTTTTAAATTAACAGGTGAAGAAGGACATTTTTAAATTATTTCTAATAAATTGAGGCATTTTTTATCCTTTTCCCTAACAATAAAGAATAATCTTAACTTGGTAGTAGAAATTTGGAGTTGCAAAAGAAAAAGAGAAAAGCAAAAGAAGCGAAGAAAAGGACGCGTTATTGTTTTTTCATTTATTTAGTAAAAGGACGTTTATTTCTACTTTTCAAAAACCTCCAACGGGTTGTTTGAGTAGTGAGTACTCTACGTCTTTACTAACCCTACAAATTCTCTTTCGGAGTTCTGGCAACTTTCAGGTTCCTCCCAATCGCTCCGATGCCTTTGATGTTCACATCTTCCGGTAGTCCTGTCGCAGATGACTTTCGCCCTTCTCATTCAGCCCATTTCTCTAAATCTAATTAATTTGAATTCAATGTGGTAGGACGAGAGTCATCTGTGACAGGATAATGGAAGATCTAGTTATCAAAGGCTTATTGGGGCGTTCTTTTTTTCATGTTGAGTTCGTAGCATAATCTCCAACTTTTGCAGAGTATTGCAACACCGAAGTAGCACAGGCAGACATTTCATTACCATTACTCTATTAGATATTGAATTGAGTATTATTTGCTTTCGTTTTGAGCCTATGCTGTTGAATTTGATGTTATGTTAACACAAGTTAATATTTCTGTGGGAGTGTTGTTGAGATTTGTCTGTAAAAACTAAGCTTTTTATTTAATCAATATTATGAAGATGTGGTATGTGGGAGATGTGTTGGACACCAATTTAAGGGAGAAAAATGGAAACATATAGCAGTGTTCAACTTTGTGCAGGCCTAGATGTGTTGAAAGTTTCTGCAGTTATGTGGTTTGTCAATGGTCTTTGTTTTTTTTAAAGATCTACTATCTTTGCATTTGAGGTATGTGCTAACAATTTTGGGCCTTGTTATGTATGTTTGAATCTCTGAGTGTGTGCGTGTGTGTATATATACCTACACATATATACATAGAACAATTTGATGTGTTCACTGGGATCTATGTGTACCATGGATAATGTAATAATCGGATGTATGCTTATGCAAACATTGTACACATGAACCTCCATTGGTTGAGGCATCTGTCAAACATTTTGTGGTAAGACAAAGATAAGAGTTACAGTCAGTGTTTTGGACGGCAAAAGGCGATAAAAGGCGACAAGGGTCTGCCTCGCCACAAGGCGAGGCGAGCGGCGAGGCGCTCGCTTTTTTGAAGTGCGGCACCATTTAATACCAAAAAATTAAAATATTTAATTGCATATGTAAATAATCAAACAATAACATATTAGCAATTTTTTCAATTCAAAAACTAAAAATAGATAGTACATCTAAAAGTCTAGAACTTGAATGAGAAAAAAATAGAACAAAAGTCAAAACAAAGGTAGAAGTGACTCTAAAGTCTGAAGAAGAAGGAAAAAGAACAGAGGAAGAAGAAATCTGAAGAAGAAAAGAAGAAATATGTATTGGTTAGACTTTGGAGTCACCGGAAAAGTCTGGCTAGTTGCCGGAGGAGTATAGTCGAAAACCCTAAAATTACTTTTTAACTTTTAAAACCCTAAATTGGTCGCCTTTTTTTAAGAAAATACAAAAGGCGACGCCTTTCTAGCCTTTCTCGCCTCTTGCCTCTTGCCTTTTGTCGTCATGGCATCGCCTTTTGAAGATCGCCTCGCCACAAAGCTAAAAGGCGATGAAGGGTCGCCTCGCCTCGCCTCGCCTCGCCTCTTGCCATTGGCGACGAGGCGATCGCCTTTCACAACACTGGTTACAGTACTAGAATATTTATCTCCAAAAAGAAGAGAAGAGGTTATAAAATCATCTTGCCTTCCATCCGGGTCCAGCTTGCGCTCCTCATGGGTAACTCTATCCACTAATCTTAGACCTCATGGTTCTCAACCTACTTCAATCCTTAAGCCATACTCTTGGGTACCCTTCCATACCCTTTTTCACGACCAATGCATCCTATCCAGCTGCTGCTAGCAATGTATGTCATTTTGGCTGAGTATGAAGTTAATTATCCATCATTTGGTATTTAAAATTTTAGGGAGAGCTTGACAATTCTCTTCTGTACTATTGTCATTGCAACAAGGGTATTCTAGCAACTCTCTTAAAGTCCAGGTTCTTTCTTCCTTTGTGGTGTGATTTATCATATTCTACTTGTTTTTGATGGCCAGTAAAACCTCGAGTTATAATGCTTGCTGTGAGTACTTTCTTGCGAATGTTGAAAATTGATTGAAAATTATTTAGTTAGGTAGGTCAGTTAGCTTAGTCCATCAAAGTTTGTTCTTGCAAGTTTTGTCGTGCTTAAAAGAATATTTACTCATCTGTTTTTGTATTATGTAAAATCAAGTTTTTGACTTTTCTTGTTTCACCAACTACATCTAGACTATCAATCTTTCTCTATGCAAATATTTTGCAAGTGATTTTTGAAGATATCGTATGATCCTCTTGGACCTTAGTTGCTTGCTACCTACAGAATCATGACTAGGATGTATCAAGCTGCAAAGTACCTGTCAATAGATAGTTATGATACACAACTAAGGATATATCAATTTGTTCATCGCACTAAAGCATACAAAACCCCTTCTTAGGTTTTCTCTTCATATTGTTCTCGAGGCAATTCTTCTTTGACTACTTGTACATACTTCGTCCACTTAAGACCACTTAGACAGTTAAAGAATATTACGAGATTATGATCCTCAAAACAAAGGTTCTTAGAAGTTGGATCATGTCAGATTCTGATGCTTTACTCTATACTTGTTCGTCTGGTGTTCTCTCTCTATAGGAGCAGAATCCTTGATTCCAGTATCTCTCCTTGTCGATTTCCCTTCACCCTTGCTTCTACTGGACTTTTTTTCTTCAGTCTGAATTGCCTTCGACTTCTTCTGTTTACTGAATTTCCACTCAAAAGCATTGGCATCACTTTCACCCAAGTTATTACCTAAATAGTCTTGTTCCCTCGATTTTCTTTTCTTTACCGAAACTTCCCTTCTGTTATGTGCTTTTACATCAACCGAACCCTTAGCACCACGATTTTGAAAGTTACTTTAAATGAGACTTTGTTACAGGGCATGTAGAGCCCTTGTCGTATCGTCCTCACTAATGTCACAAACAGTTCATGCCAGGAAGCCAGTCTAACATAGTGCAGAACCAACTCTGAGACAATTGATGGGGTTTTGTACCATATGGCAGAAGCCTCCATTTCCTACATGTACAACAGCAATCGAATCTCCTTGTATAGTGAATGGAACAACTGGTGGCTTATCCCCAGAATTCAGTTCCGGGCAGTGTGTCTTCTCAGAAGCAGTGTGTAAATCACTACTCGGTTTGTGAGAAGAATACGGGTAGGTGAAGGGAGTTTTTGAAATATTTGTGGAATTATTGGTTGAAATACAAGTTGATCACTCTCCAACAAAGGAATGTATCCAAGAAGCAATGAAAAATTCAAAAAAAATAAAATCAATTGGGGAAACTTCCAGTATATGATTAGGATGTAATTAGTTCCCTAGTGTATGTAATTTCTGTACTTTACACTTTAAATAATTGTTACAAAAATATTATTTTCTTGAATACATAGTTCCTGAAATGCCTGTCCATACTGCGCTATTTGCAAACATTGGAGGAACTATCAAAAAGGTTGGATCTCTGAAAGTACTGCACTTGAGACCTTCCTTGCTAAGCATGTCTGCCACTTTATTCTTCTCCCGAAATATGTGTGTTGGCATTGCTGCTCCCAGCTTCTCCATTAATAACCTGTATTCATAGATTAAGTTAGTAAAGAGGTGATTATCGTGTTCAAACATATTGATCAGTTCCATGGAGTCAGTGTTGATGTCTATTGGGTTCAGCTTATATTCAATGGCCATAAGCACACCTTGTCTTAGTGCACGAACCTTGCCAGGATTGGGTTGACATGGGCTTCTTTGCTGATAAAAGCCAATGATCCAGTCACCTATATGGTTTCTGATAACACCTCCAAGACCTCCTGGTCCCGGGGCTTTCTTTCACATCCCCATCAGTATTCGGTTTAAACCTACCTGGCATACGAGGTTTCCACCTGACCTGGATGACATATTTCTGATCAAGGAGGGTTAGTAATATACTAGAGTCAAAATACATGTCGATCCAAAAGTCATTAGCAAAACATTTATCTAACCTTTCTGTCTAAGGTCTTTGGTGGACCAAAAATGTACTAGTAGTCAAAGAAGACAAATTAGAGAAAGAAGAATAGCCTTAAGAACAATATGAAGAGATTTACCTACAAACGATGTTCTGTATGTTTTAGTAAGAACTTGAGTGTACATAAGATATATATATATATATATAAAAGAATAGATGTGTAGATATTCTTTTAAGCACGGCAGAAATAATTTTCAGTCAGTCTTCAACATGCCCAAGAAAGTACTCACCCACAAAGCCACCTAACTAAATAATTTGCATTATGACTCAGGCTTTACTGACCATCATAAACAAGTAGAATATGATAAATCACACCACAAAGGAAGAAAAAACTTGGACTTCAAGAGAGTTGCTAACATGCCCTTGATGCAATGACAACAGTACAGAAGAAAATTGTCAAGCTCTCCATACAAAAATTTTAAAAACCAAATGATGAATTAATAACCCATGGAGTTTCATGTGTACACATAGATATCCCATGTGAAAAGGACGCTTCTTCTTTTTTCCTTTATTTAGTAAAAGCCCCGTTTTTATCTTATTTTCGGAAACCTCCAACGGGTTGATATACTTTTTGTTTGAGTAGTGAGTACTCTTCGTCTTTACAAACCCTACAAATTGTCTTTTGGAGTTCTGGCAACTTTCAGGTTCCTCCCAATCGCTCCGACGCCTTTGATGTTCACATCTTCCGGTAGTCCTGTCGCAGATGACTTTCGCCCTTCTCATTCAGCCCCTTTCTCTAAATCTAATTAATTTGAATTCAATGTGGTAGGACGAGAGCCATCTGTGACAGGATAATGGAAGATCTAGTTATCAAAGGCTTATTGGGCGTTTTTTTTCATGTTGAGTTCGTAGCATAATCTCCAACTTTTGCAGAGTATTGCAACGCCGAAGTAGCACAGGTAGACATTTCATTACAATTAGCTATTGGATTGAGTATTATTTGCTTCCGCTTTGAGCCTATGCTGAAGAATTTGATGTTATGTTAGCACAAGTTACTATTTCTGAACCCTCAGGGGTTGGCCTGCTGGCAATTGACTTGAGCCTTGGGGTTTGCTCCCTTTCAAGGTCTCAAGTTCGAAACCCACTGGGTGCAAACAATTTCTGAGGGCCATCGGACTGGGTAAAACCTGAATTAACCGTGGTGCACTTGCGGGAAACTCCTTGCCGAGGGCCTGTGCACCCCCGGGGTTAGTCGGGGCTCAAAGAGACTCGGACACCCGGTACAAATCAAAAAAAAAAAAAAAAAAAAAAAAAAAAAAGTTACTATTTCTGTGTGTGTGGTGTTGAAATTTGTCTGTAAAAACTAGGCTTTTTATTTAATCAATATTAAGAAGATGTGGTATGTGGTGATGTGTTGGACACCAATTTAAGGGATAAAATGGAAACATATAGCAGTGTTCAACTTTGTGCAGGCATAGATGTGTTAGAAGTTTCAGCAGTTATGTGGTTTGTCAATGGTCTTTGTTTTTTTAAAGATATACTATTCTTTGCATTTGAGGTATGTGCTAACAATTTTGGGCCTTGTTATGTATGTTTGAATCTCTTGAGTGTGTGTGTGTTTGTGTATATATACCTACACATATACATACATACACAGAAAAAATTGAGTACTTACTCTGCAGTTGAAGGTGGGTGGATTAAAGATAGTAATATACCTGGACGGATTGGTGTTATATTTGCCTCATATATCCATAATAAAATTTGTTATAAGAATATTATGGTATTTTGACTGTCGTCTTGTAAGTTATTTTTTGATATAGGTTTTGTTAGGACCTATTGCACAAAGTTATTAGGCATCTCCTAAGAAAAACTTGTTATGATTCCTACTGGGTCAATTGATGATTAGGATAGATCTTTGATATTTGTCATTAACCAATTTAGAAGGATATCGGTTGAGACAATTCGATTAGCAAGGGGAAAGTAAATTGATTGATGAAGAGGATTCTTATTTTAATGTTTGTTAAAGTATTATGGACACTTTGGCACTCTTGTAGGATGCCAGATTCACTCACTGCTCTACTGTGATCTATGTGTACCATGGATAACGTAATAATCAGATGTATGTTTATGCAAACATTGTACACATGAACCTCCATGGGTTGAGGCAACTGTCAAACATTTTGTTTGTGGTAAGACAAAGGTAAGAGTTACAATATTAGAATCTTTATCTCCAAAAAGAAGAGAAGAAGTTGTAAAATCAAAATATCTTGCCTTCCATCTGGGTCCAGCTTGCGCTCCTTGTGGGTAACTCTATCCACTAATCTTAGAGCTCATGGTTCTCAACCTACTTCAATCCTTAAGCCATACCCTTGGGTATCCTTCCATACCCTTTTTCACGAGCCAATGCATCCTATCCAGCTGCTGCTAGCAACGTACGTCATTTTGGCTGAGTGTGAAGTTAATTATCCATCATTTGGTATTTAAAATTTAGGGAGAGCTTGACAATTCTCTTATGTACTATTGTCATTGCACCAAGGGTATGCTAGCTACTCTCTTTAAGTCCAGGTTTTTTCCTCCTTTGTGGTGTGATTTATCATATTCTACTTGTTTTTGATGGCCAGTAAAGCCTCGAGTCATAATGCTTGCTGTGAGTATACTTTCGTGCGAATGTTGAAAATTGATTGAAAATTATTTAGGTAGGTAGGTCAGTTAGCTTAGTCCATCATATTGACTTTGGAAATCCATAAATCCCAATCCTATATCATATCTTATAACCCTAAACCCAACAATAATTCTACTATGATGACAAGTTGACAACTATGTATAATTTTTACTTTATACTAGAATGTTAGGTTATTTAGAAGTTACATTTTGAAAATTACCAACTGTTGTGAAATTTGTCTTCTTATCATCAGTGGATAGTCTTTACAAGGTGCAACAAGATAGATAGAGAATACTGATTTCTTTAGGCAGGGGAATGTAAAGTTAGCATCGAAAAAGAGTAACAAAATAAGATCCATCCCTCATATTAAGCAAATAACCATATAATTCATTTTATACTCCTTGTGATCTATTATAATGAAGCTCCGAAATTGTTTGTTAGATTATTACAAAAGGAATTTGTGGCTCGAGATCCAACGCTTAACACCAAAATAGATTTAGATAAATAGCATTGAAAGACTTAGAAGTTGGATATTTAATTAATATACTGTAGTAGATAAGGGTATGCAATTGGGATTAGAAGCCTTAAGTAATCGTCAAAGTACATAAAGTAAAGTTGTGAAGCAGAATCATCAGTTGCTTATTTTCATATACTTTCAACATATGAACAAATTTAACAGGAAACAAGAAAACAAGAACTAATGACTGCTAATCCAGTAATTCCTCTACCAATATGCAATGTAGGCCCTCGCAACCTTCCCATATCCAATGGCCTTCTTGTAAACTGGTTTGCGCATCATACCACATTCGGCTTCAGACTGTTGCTTTACTCCATACTTGTTTGCCTGCTCTTCTCTCTCTATAGGAGCAGAATCCTTGATTCCTGTATCTTTCCTTGTCGATTTCCCTTCACCCTTGCTTCTACTGGACTTCTTTTTTTCAGTCTGAATCACCTTCGACTTCTTCTGTTTCCTGAATTTACCCTCAAAAGCATTGGCATCACTTTCACCCAGTTCATTACCTAAATAGTCTTGTTCCCTCGATTTTCTTTTCTTTACAGAAACTTCCCTCCCGTTATGTGCTTTTACATCAATTGAAGTACCCTTAGCACCACGATTTTGAAAGTTACTTTGGATGAGAGATTGGTAGAGGGCATGTAGAGCACTTGTGGTATCGTCCTCACTAATGTCACAACAGTTCATGCCAGGAAGCCAGTCTAACATAGTGCAGACCCAACTCTGAAACAGTTGATCGGGTTTTGTACCATATGGGAGAAGCCTCCGCTTCCGACATGTAGAACATTGAATCCAATCTTCTTGTATAATGAATGGAGCAAGTGGTGACTCATCCCCAGAAGTCGTCAGTTCCGGGCAGTGTGAAGCAGTATGTAAATCACTACTCTTCGGGGCAGCAGTATTACCAGAACGAAGCTTAATCCTAATCCTAATGGGTTTGTGAGAAGAAGAAGGGAGTTTTTGAGATATGTGTGGTTGAATTACAAGTTGATCAATCGGCAAAAACGAACCATAAACACCAAATTTTGGCCCCAAGTTCTCAGCAGAAACAGCTCCTTCAAAATCTTTCATATAATCGCCCAAAATACTTTGAATCTTAGCATCAATATCTATATGAGAATCATCATATATTTCTCCTTCTTCAATTTCATGTTCTTCCGCCATCGTAATTTCCTAGTCCTATGCTCACAGTTTCTAAATTTCTTTGCAAAGTTCAACAAAAAAATCTAATCTATATAGAAAAAACCTCCTGTTTAATTTGGTAACTTATTACCGACTAACTAATAAAATAGACACAGTTTCTAAATTTCTTTACAAAGTTACCAAAAAAAATCTAATCTATATAGAAAAAAAACCTCCCGTTTAATTTGGTAACTTATTACCGACTAACTAATAAAATAGACACAGTTTCTAAATTTCTTTGTCAAAGTTAACCAAAAAATACCGTCTTAATTATAACTAATTAGGATTAGTAGTCCTAAGCCGAATCAATATAGGAAAAACCTCCTGATTAAGTTGGTAACTTATTACCGACTAACTAAATAACTACTAGTAATAAATAGACACGTTAATTTTGTAATTAAAAATTAAAAATTAATTTTTGAGAGATAAATGTTGCAATTCCCTTTATTTAACACTTGAAGAGACGATGATCGAACATGGAAGTAAAAAGTACAGTACATGAAAATTTTCAATATAAATTACAAAAATTTTAAACAAATGTAAATCTAATTAAAAATTAGAATAAAATAAAAAAATGCAAACTGAAATTCAAAATTCTACTTTCTAACTTCAAAATTAACTAGATAGTTTTTTTTTATTGATATTGGATTTTGACGTATTATTCAAATATGCGAATAA